GTCAAAAAATCGATCACCTAAATTTTTTTATCTATTGAATTGTTCTGTACTTCATTTAAAACAATGTGAATCGAAATATTAAGCTGTGTTAACTAAGTCATTGATACTAAACTGAATTAACTGATTTTCGTCGCAAACTGTCTCTACAGCGTATAAAATGACTAAAATGCGTTTCACAGCTGACAAAATGGTCAGGCTAATGCACTGTTGAGACTATCAAACTACGCTATTAAAAGGCTTAGTATGTATACAAATGTAGTGAAATAAAAGACACAAGCACTTCCTAAATAGGTACTTCCGCTAATGGAATCACACCACTTGCCATAATGCATTTGCCATCCAACCAACATGAATGTTAAGTACTTCGATGCACAATGATGTAACAGACATTTGCAACTAAAGTGCCCATTGCAGCAGTCTAATTGAGATTAATCGGAGTGATGATCGTACTTATTTCACCGTTAACATTTTGCTTAAAAGATTGCGCCAAATCTTGTGCGAATCGATCTATCAAATAGATGGTGAGAGAAGCGAATGATGAACAACGTTTTACGGTTCTGCAGAAGAAAATGGCATTGGAAATGAGGATCTGTCGCAATGAGTAGTTAGCTATTGTGCTAGTGGGTTTCATCTTCGTCTGTCGGATATTAATTATTGTATCATATCTGCACTTCTGGGATGTTTGGTTTTGAACAATAAACAATGATCATTGTTTGTTAACGAGAGAGATGTAATAATAACTTTGTTATATTCATAACAATTTCGCTGGGAGAAAGATGTGATGGATTTCTAAGGCTTCTATTCGAGGACTTCTCTAAGTGCCGGTCCACACGAGCGTTTTTTAACGGTGCGGTGACGCGACGTCAAAAACGCTCGTGTGCACCGGCCCTTAGGTGATTTGCTGGACAATACGTGTTGTGGTCAATTGATATTGGCTGAAAATAGCATCGAATTAATTTTATTAGCTTGTTTGTACCATGCAACTGACTCAACCAACTATTTTCCTACCGATACTTAGCATCGTGTTCTAATTGATTGCATTCATTTCCAGATTCATTTTTATGTATTAGTTGTAAACGTCAAGGTTCTACATAATTATAATAAATTATAGATTCCACAGATGCATGTGCTTTGAAAGCGCAGGCATTTTGTTTTCTTCAAATGCCCGCCGCTCAAGGAAATTGAACAGCATTATTTTTTTAATAATATTTAATATTTTCGTAGATGTAACCTGTTGTTTACAAAAGATTTTGCAGATATTGATATCATTTGTATAGAACCCGCGTCGGCTGGCTTTCGTGAAAAGTGAATATTTGTCCACTCGTTGACACTTTCTTTTCGTTAAGCGAATACGCAATTTTACAA